AGCAGGCCTTGCCAGTGCTGGTAAGGGTGGGGGTTTTGTTTTGCTCCTCTGGTAGTTCCTTGATTAGCATATGTTTGCTGCTTGATTGTGTCCCTGGTGGTAACCTTTGCTTATCTGGGTGATGATTGGTGGTGATGATGGCTGGAGATTGATTGCTGGTGAGGCTTTCTTCTGGTCTTTTGTCTCTTTTGAATAGTATGTAGATGCTGTTTATCTCTATGTGTCTGTTAATTGCTGCTTTGTCTGAATACCAGGCTTCCAAGAATTCTCTTGCATATTTGGATTTAGCTTGGTCTAAAATGCTGACAGTTTCCCAGTTAAAACTATGGTTGAGTCTTGGTTACTGAAAACTTGGTTACTGAAAGAACGTTTTGTCCTGCAGAAATAGGACCATGACAAGGTTCATCAGTCATGCTAAATCACTGTTCACTGAATAAATCATACTGTCATTGGCTAGATCTTCACAACACACTAAACTGCAGAAGCATGATTTACAAACCACTCTTCATGTGGGTTAATACAATACACAGTAAACTGGAATTAAATTCCTAACATTAGAGCCTAGTGCTGTATGAATTAGGCTGTAGCAATGCTATCTTAATGATCAAACCCTATAATAAATTATTGGCAAAAGTTTGCTTTTCAGTTGCCTGTTTGTACAATACTTTGAACAAGGCCTATTAAGACATAATGGCTACACTTGAATGAAGTGTGAAGCTTGGTTAGTGTAAATTTGGGTTACTGATTTTAGTATGTTAAGTGAATTCAGAGAGTTGGTTTAGTTTATAGTTCAATTTACTACATGAAATTAGACAATAAGTCAATTCAAGGATAAACTTAATCATGTTGGGAGAATGAAGATGGTCTTCATATATTAAGAGAAAATTACTTATGACTCTTGTATCTCAGCCAGTTTTTGGAGCAGTGCCAGCTGAAATGATAAAGGAGGTTGCATGGAAGAGGTTTTCAGATGGTTAGGAGGGCACTTTGGGAGTATGTATCCTCAGATACCTTTCTCTCTCAAGGTTATCGGTAGTGGTTGTCTCATGATTATTTTGCTATGATATTTGTAATTATGCTTTCCATTTCTTCCACAGGGTCAGATGTGTCTTTAGAGGATAAGTTAGCAAGAACGGAGCTCTTTATTTTCTTTACAAATCTGCTCAAGACATTCATCTTCCAACTTCCAGAAGGAGAGAAAAAAGCCAGCAAAGAACCTAGAATTGGGTTGACAACATACCCTCATTCTTATAAAATCTGTGCTGTTCCTCACCACAAGACATCATAAATTATAATTATCATTGGCACACTCTGGTTTTACAATAAATTTATCCTAGTGTGAAATTCAATCTTGGCTTGCTCAATTCAATCTTGAGTGGAAATTTACAGAACTTGAGTCAAATCTTTGATGGATTGGATTGCTCAATCTGTGATGATCGCCTGACAAATTCTTCCTAGTTTGATATTATTACTCTAGAGTACAGTAGTGGTTTCTTGCAATACATAACATTTTTTGATTATGTGCCATCAAGTCGTTTTTGACTCCTAGCAACCACATAGATGGAATTTCTCCATGACGATCTATCCCTAACCTGTTCTTTCAGGTCTCCCAATGGTGCAGTCATCACCACTGTAATGCATAACATTACATTCTCTCATTTTGTGCCTTTGGAAAAATCTTCAGGGAGTTGATTAATTAAATTTTAGGTAACCTGTTTTTGCAGCATTTGGGATATGGTATATTCTCTTTTACAAGTTGATTGGTAGGTTACCTTGAGGTTTATGTGCTAAGAGAAATGTATTTATTATTCAGAAATTGTCTGTGCCATGCACGCCTTCAATGGCTGTGGGCACCTAAAAAAAGACAATAAAAACAATAATACCCCTCACCTTTTTTTTTTTTACACAAAGCATAATTAAGCTTTGGAATTCACTTATCATGTGATATGGTGCCAGCTACCAGCTTGGCTTTCTGCAAAAAAGGGTTGGCCCAATTCAAGGAAATCATGGGGAACCATGCCTATTAGCCTTGGGGGGCATGGGGCTGCCTCTGAAGGCCATCTTCTAGGAGGCTAGTGGGCTTCCTGGTGCAGTTGTGGGCCACTGGGAGAACAGGCCGCTGGACCAGATGGGCCAGGGGTCTGACCCAGGCACGGCCTATGCTCTGATGCCAGGAAGCCGCTCTGCTCGCTCCGCCCTCCCTCGCTCCCTGCTTCTCCCTACTGGCTCTTTCCCCCCATGGCAAGAAAACGGCCACTTTCCCAGCGCTGCTGGGGGAGGACGGAGAGGGGTGAGCTGAGGGAGGGCGAGAGGGAAGCCCCAGAGAAGGAGACCCACCGGACAGGCCAGCCCCGCGCGAGAGGGGAAGAGAGCTGGAGTAGGCCAGGGCCGGAGGGGGTTCTCCTCCTCCCTGGAGGACGCTGGGCAGCCCTGAACAGGCACAGAGAGAGAGGAGGCCGGATGCAGAGCAGAAGCCGTGCGGAGGAAAAGGCAATGGGGACAGGCGCAGCTGGGAAAACTGAGGCTGGAAAGATTGTTCCTCCCTCCATCGGAAAGGAGGGAAAACAGAGCGAAAGAAACCCTTTCTTCGGGCCTGGAAAGGCCCCTCCCCCGACAGTCTCCTCAGCTGAGATGAAGCAGAGCCTGAGGAAAACTCCGGCAAGAGCTCACCGTCCGGCGTTAATCAAGGCTGACAGAAAAACCCAGAGGAAGCGGAAAGAAAAGAATCAGAGAGGTGGAGAGAGCCATAAATGTTCTAGAAAAGAATGTGAAGCATGGGGAAAGAACAGAGATGCTGAAATGGAAGCTAGAAACAAGCAGAGAATCATGGCAATGCTTCTAAGGGAGCAAGCATAGAAAGAGGAGATCTAATATGGTAATACCGTGCAGAAATAGAGTAGAGCCTGCTTAAAGGACAATGAACTCACCCACTCCTCTTGGGAAAATTTTTAAAGTTATAGAGGTCTTCAGACCAGCAGAACACTTAAACCACCTGGTGAGGGTACCCCTGGCCGAAGGATTAAAATAATAGCCAAGAAACAATTATATAGACTTAAAAAGAATTAAAAGCAAAAAGTTTGCCAAGAATGGAAACGATGGACGTTTAAAAGGGATTAAGGGGATGCCTCCCACAGGCATCCAGGCCGACCTCCCAGCTGGTCAGTTGGCCACACCCAGATATTGGACTGGCATAGCAATGTCCCCATCTGGCTAGTTTAGCCACACCCTGCCCTTTTCAAGGATGTGCCAGCATCCATAGGCAGCCAGCTGAGTGCACCTTGTGCCACCCGCACCCTCAGCCTAGCAAAGGGAAGCCAACCCAGAGGGTGTGTGTGGGAACGGGAGAAGAGGAAGAGATGGCAAGCAGATGAGGAAGCAATCTCTGGACAAGTGCAACAGCTGCAGGGAAACAAGAGGGCCGACAGTCACCTGTAAGATCACAAGTCATGGTAAGCAGCCCATCTCTGGGCAGCTCAGCTGGGCAGCTCAGTGGCAACGCTGCTTAACAGCAGAGCCTGGTGGCCAGCCTAGAGCTTAGCAACAACTCTGGTTCTGCAACACGAAATAAAAAGAGCTCAAACTCAAGGAAATAAAAACAAAACCAAGATGGGCCCAGACTGGGTAGAATGCTAGAACAATTCAGTCTTCAGCATCTTCCTGAATGCCGTTGGGGATGGTTGCCAGACTAATCTCCACTGCCTGTGTAAGGATGGAGGTAGGCTACCTTCCATCACAGGTAGAATACACCTAGCATTGCTGGGGCTTATAAGAGACTAGGAAGCCTTCAGGAATCCCATCATGCCAAACTCTGTTTTCTCCATTGCACAGCTGGGATCAATGGACCAAACTTTTGATGCCTATCCTACCACCTTTAGAAGAACTTAGCTGTTGGAGCAGAGAAAATAACAGAGATGGGATTTTTTTTACGGGATTCCACATTTTTACCTTGGTACCATCATTATAAAAAACACAGAAGCCTCTCCCAGTACCTGGTTAACATAACCAGTGCTTCACTGAGAAGAGCTTTAACATCCCTTTGCCTGCA